AGAGACTGAATCTTTGAACTGCTTCGAACTAATCGTTTGAGAATCGCTGGAAAATTAGGTGATCTTTATTTTGCATCTCAAGTAACTGTATCTTGATTTAAGGATGTTTGGATATTTGCATTGGAAAACAAGACAAAAATAATGCGTTAGATTCATGCAGTTCATGCAAAATTTAATGGCATGACTTTATGAATTGAAGACCTTTTTACTTTGTGGAAGAGCGAATTAAGGCTTTTTAAGACCTAAACCCTGTTTCTCCCCTAAAAAATTAAGTAAATGTGAATTATATATGTTACAAAAAAATATTTACAGTATATAAATTTTTTTTCCTCTCATTTTTATTTTGGGCTCTGAAATGTAACCTGGACGTGTTTACACGAGATTTTCCATTAAGTGCACAGAACTAATTTGTTCAATTCTAATGCTGAAATGAACCCAAAAAAAAAAAAAAAAAATGAATCATGGGTCTTGTAATTTTCATTAAAAAAATTACGGGGATAATTAAAAAATAGTGTGTATATCTTACACACTATATATAAAAATAGTGTAAATAAATTGTGGTTCGGTGTTGTATTGAAAATATTAAGAACTTTTCACTAATAATACCAAGAGATATGCTTTCCTTATTTGTTTAGGAAACTTAAGCAGTTTTGAGGCTTGAATTAGGAATTAAGGAAATAATTAAACTGAAAAAAATATATAATGAAAGAAGGCTACCTATTTATTTTAAGAGAATTAGCTCAATTTTCCGGTTTTATTTTTGGCAGTGATTGTTAGTTCCCAGCATGCTTTGCATATGGCTGGATACGGAAAGTAAATATTAAAATTAAATGCTATTTTATGTTTTTTTTGTGTGTGTAAAGAGAAACACCTATTAATGTTTAATGTTCAGTTATGTTTGGCATTTGAAAGAGTCTCTGTTATGTTGAAGTTTCTATCATTAGGCTACCATTGTGTAATTAGAAGAGTAGCGCTTATGATTATAACTGCATGTACTACGCTATGAGGCATGATGCTTTGTTCAATGCTAGTGCTGTAAAGTTTTTCCTACTTGAACTGTCTGGCTGTATACATTCTTTTATTTGTAGGCTACAAAATAACTCAATTTGTCAAATACAAACAGACCTTATTCAAAATCATAGACTTTAGAGAATCAACTTTAAAAACAATGAGCACATTTCACTGATATTAAATTCATTGTGTCATATAGATTAAATAATTTAAGAGATTTTACATGATTTATTCGGGTAGATTCCATAAAAAAAATAAGCCTTAAAAACTACTCAAAAATATTATGTGTAATATTGTTACCATCATTTTTTAAGAAAATAGCTCATACCATTTTTTTTTACATTGTAGGCCTATTAAAATTACATGTCAACAAATTATTAATTATGAATGATTTCCAGGCTGCTTGTTTAATGTATTTCAAAACTACTATGATGTTTTTCAAATGATTCCAAAAATGATGGTTTTATGGATATGTAATCATGGTAATATTATATTGAGCAAGCAATCATGTACTATCACGTTTTGATACAATCACTTTACCATTGTACTGCCAAACCATTTTTGTAAGATAAAATTTAGCCTATGCAAATTACAAATAGTGCATAGTTTGCCATTTTGGGTTTGTGGTATCTTCAGATCATTGAAAGTTAAAGACTCAAATCACTCATAATTTGCAACATACTAAATCTCATCTCTCTCCCACGTAGGTGTCAGAAGTCACACATCCGGCCCATAGTGAACTGACCAGCTGTACCAGCGTGTGAACGCCATGGATACAATAAACTTCACCTTCTGGAACGCCTCTGAGGGCAACGAGACCCTGGAGACGGTGGACGAGAGCCCGTATAAGACAGTGGAGGTGGTGTTCATTGTACTGGTGGCCGGCTCACTAAGCTTGGTGACCGTTATCGGGAACATCTTAGTCATGCTCTCCATCAAGGTAAACAGGAACCTGCAGACTGTCAACAACTACTTCCTATTTAGTCTGGCCTGTGCTGACCTCATCATTGGCCTTTGCTCTATGAACTTGTACACAGTCTACATTGTGATTGGATACTGGCCACTAGGCCCAGTCGTGTGCGACTTGTGGCTGGCGCTGGACTACGTGGTCAGCAACGCCTCCGTCATGAACCTGCTGATCATCAGCTTCGATCGCTACTTTTGCGTCACCAAGCCGCTCAGCTACCCAGTGAAGAGGACCACCAAAATGGCAGGCATGATGATTGCGGCGGCATGGGTTTTATCCTTCATCCTCTGGGCTCCGGCCATCCTGTTCTGGCAGTTTATCGTTGGCGGGCGCACGGTGCCAGAGAAGGAGTGCTACATTCAGTTCTTCTCCAACGCCGCGGTCACTTTCGGCACGGCCATTGCTGCTTTCTACCTGCCCGTCATCATCATGATGGTGCTGTATTGGCAGATATCCCGCGCCAGCAAGAGCCGCGTCAAGAAGGACAACCGCAAGCCATCAGGCGGCAACCTCGATGTAGCCTCGTCCAATCAGATCCGCGAAAACACAGCCAACAAACCCACCAACAACAACCTAACAGCTGAAGAAACAGACCGAGGACAGACCCAGCTAACAGATGACGCCGCCAACCAACATGATGCCAAACTCCAGAACGGCAAAGCGCCATCCACGGCGAGCATAGAAGCGGAGGCAGAAGATGGAGGACGAGGAAACTGCGTTCCCGCAGAGGAGAAAGAAAGCTCCAATGACTCCACCTCTGGCAGCGGAGCTGTAACCAATCAAAAGGATGAAGCAGTGCCATCCAAAGCCAATGACAACCAGGCTCCCACGAGGCACCGCGCCAAAGCTGGAGGCTCCAAACTGACGTGCATCAAGATCATCACCAAATCGCCAAAGGGCGACTGCTACGCACCTTCGAACGCAACGGTGGAGATCGTCCCAGCCACCGAGAGGCAGAACCATGTGGCGAGGAAGATCGTGAAGATGACCAAGCAGCCACCCAAGAAGAAAAAAGCGCCGCCCTCTCGGGAAAAGAAGGTGACGCGCACCATCATGGCCATCCTGGTGGCGTTCGTGGCTACTTGGACGCCATACAACGTGATGGTCCTCATCAACACCTTCTGCTCCAGCTGCATTCCCAACACCGTGTGGACCATCGGATACTGGCTCTGCTACATCAACAGCACGATCAACCCCGCTTGCTACGCCCTCTGCAACATCACCTTCAAAAAGACCTTCAAACACCTGCTGCTCTGCCAGTACAAGAACATACGCTCGGCCCGATGAGCTGTAGTGTGTGTGCATGCATTATATTTTACATGTGTGTTCTGGTGACAAAGGTACGTGTGGATGTGTTTGTATGTGTGGAAAGATACAGTAAAACCAGTTCAGCAATTGAAGAGTTTATTTGCAAAAACATTTCCTTAAATCATGTTTTCTATTGTGTTATCATGTTTTTATTGTGTTTTAATGTGTGTATTTTTAGTTATTATTATTTAATCAAAACAACCCAACTGCAGTTGGATTGATATTAACTGGAATGCAGGACAAAAAAAAACATAATTTAAATTTTTTTTTAAAAACAGAGTTATCTGTTTTTGCAAATGAAGTCTTCGATTACAAATTGAAGATTGACCCATCAGCACCCACCATATACAACGTTTTAAGAATCCTCCGTCCTTGCTTGGCAAATTTGACACAGTCAGCTGCAAGGACTCTACTTTAACACATTTCACGGTGTGTATATCACAGATTTCCCCTAAAATAAGTGTACAAATGTGTGTCTGGGCAGATGTGTGATTGCATTTATTGTTTTATATATATATAGATAGATAATCTGTTGTAGCACTTTACACACGCATAGAGGTGATGTATGTCACAAAAGACGGAAAAGTGCTCAAATATTTGATTTATAGACAAAAATGTTAAAATTTAAAAAAATATATATATATATATGAGCATATAGATGGTCAGAATGGAGTCTGTACTATTCAATAATACACAAATAAGGGGACAACAGGGCTGACTGAAGATCCAAACCTAACGCGTTTGAGCTTCAGTATAAAATCACACCTGTATATACGTGTATATAATCATGTACTGTATCCGTGTCGTGTGTGTGGTTGCATGCTGGATGACTGTGCGTATGTAAGTTTGTAGCTAAAGTCAACATGAAACCTGTTTACTTCTGTAACAGAGTGAAATTCATCCATATAGGCTATCGTGATTTTATTTAGATTGCAAAGACAATTTTAATATTGTGCACCATTGAATCGTGTAAAATAAGACCAGAAACATGCATTCAGGAAGTAAACAGGCTCATCCTGACTTTAAAGCTTTATTAAACGCAAGCGTTTGACAGAACGACAGGTAGCTGGTTGCAGGGTTTGTGTGTGTTTGTCGCATGTGTGTGCTCTCCGAGAGCAATAAAGAGGGTTGAAGAGGCTCTCCGGTGTGCCCGTATGTTAAAGTGGATGAGTTTTGAGTGCTCGGGGTCTCCAGGGATGCAAATCTAAACCTTTTAAAGTGAACAGAGGCGCAGGATGAAGAGGCTCTCACAGGCACGCAGCCATTAGCATCCACCTCACCTCTGCTTTGCATTTACACAAAACAGTTCACTCACGCTTGGGCGAAAAAAGGAAAATTCCAGCTACGTGAGCACTAATTCAGCAGATACTCAAAAGCGGCTTGTGAAACTGAAAAAATCCATATTAAAGGGCCAAAACGCTTGCTCTCGGCCTCATTGTAAATGACATCAGGCACATGCAGGTCCATGCAGAAGTGCTGCCTGTAGACATGCGATGTCCCGATGACCTAATCTGCTCTCTGGGTTCATGATCCGCCTGCAGGCGCTGCGCTTGAAAGCATGTGTGTGTGTGTGTGTGTGTGTGTTTGATCACCCCGACAAGGGGTTTAATATAACTCACAGGTTCTTGCCTTGTGAATGTAAAGGGCTAAAGTACATAAGCTTCCTCATCTCATTACCAGACGCCAAGTCAACATTAGTTGTTTTTGATTCATTAAAACAGATTAACAGAATCCCCGCTCAGAGCAGAGGATCATGGGAAATGTCAGTCAATCGATGACAGAGCAGCAGCTCATAAATTTGACAGTGATGCATGCTGGGGGAATAGAGCTCATGTGCGATAGATGAGCTCGATCGCAGTGCTTCTGCATCAGAAACCGTAGCGGCAATGTTAATGAATGTACCGTGGTAATGAAGTTTCACTCAAAATTCCACAGTTGCTGTTGTAAAATCATAGTAAAGTAAGCTGAATCTCATTCTAACTGCTCTAGAAGATCTCATCTGGCATTTTTCCTTAGCGAATCACGATTGTATCTATGGGATATTGGAAATCTCTGGTTACCATGGTACATTTTTGCAGGAGGTTGCAGAGATACTACAATATATATGAACATTAATCATCTGATTCACACATAGACACATTCATTCTCATCCCATCTGTTATGTCTGTATCTCATAACATTTTTAAAGTATGACAATAATCTCTTTCCAAATAATGCACACATTTACTTTTAGTACAGTCTCTCCTTCTTGCCATTACTTCATACATACAGCTTCATATATAACAGCATCATGCATAATGATGTTTTGTTGATCTTCTGCGGATTGTGATTATTGTAGGATGACGCACTGTGTGTGTGTGATTGTGTGTTTGCTACTGTAGTTTTTGTTCTGGCAGTGACAGTGTACAATACAGAGAAATAGTCCTTAAAGTGAACACAACTAAAATTATTCAGCCTAAAAAACATCCACATTCGATAGTTTTATAGTTGTTGGACACTTCAATGCAGTCATTTACAGACTGTTTATCAGACACGTAGAAGAGTATGTTGTGCTGACAAGCATTTTACAAGGAAATGGATTTTAAATGGGTTTAAAGTCACCATAAAATCAAAATTGAAAATGATTTTTTATGGAATATTGTGGCAGGGTTATTATCATTAACTAAAACTAAAACCATAAAAACTGTTTTCCTTGAAACAAAAGAAACATTAACTCAAATAAAAAAACATTTTATTGCAGCAAGTTACCTAAGCAGCATTTCTCATTTCAATTTAGTTTAACTTGGTGCACTAACATAACTAAAACTAAATGAACCAAGACTAATAAATAAACATTAATGCAAACTATAGACATATTTAAAATAATAATAATCAAAATTACAAAAACAAAATTACCAAAACTTTAAAATGAAAGTTAAAAAATCTAATTCAAAATATGAACAAAAACTATAATAGTCAATGAGTACGTTTACATGGACAACAATACTAAATAAATAGATATTAATAAAGACAATACTCTGATTAAGAATCTACCATGTAAACAGAGATTTTTGATTACCTTAATCCGGCTAAAGTCATAATCGAAGTAAACACAAATCGAATTAAGACATGTGGAGTATTCCTATTTTAGTCGCATTACTGAAGTGCAGAATAGACATGTAAACACCTAATGCCCGGTTCAGACTACATGATTTTAGCCCGAGTTTGCCACGATTTGCTTGACGTAGGGTGTCGTGGGGATTCGTAAACGACAATGGGCGTCGGGACGCAAAATTCCACCGTTTCAGCTCGTTTAGTGTGTCATAGCGGACGACAACCGATTCCGCGTCTGCGATGCTTCACGACATCACGACAGAAAGACTAGCATGTTTCATTTTTAATTCGGGAGTTCTGTCACATTGGTGACGTTGACCAATAGCAGCACAGAAGCTCTTTCATACACAGGTTTCAAACATGCGCAACGAAAGAGAGATGATGGTGCTGCTAGGTGGACTTATGAGATGGAGGAAAGGTTCGTGGAGCTGTGGCAACAGTACTCCTGCCTGTATGATGTGTCATCGAGGGACTACCACGACAGAACAAAGAAAGAAAAATGCTGGCGAACTATAGCGGAAGCGCTTCAGCAATGTTTAATACGCTCTTGTTTTCGGAAGTCAGTCGCTAGTTCCGCTTTCTCGATGATTTCACGTGCGTCGTTAAAGACGGCACGCGATGAATGGTCGGGAAGCAACGTGTAGTCTGACATGTTTCTTGTCCACGACACGACAAGATTTTAGGAGTCAAAATCGTGTAATCTGACACAGTGACTATCGTGACCGACAAAAATATCATGTAGTCTGAACCCGGCATTAATCACATTATTACCATCGTGCAGGACTTTTCGCCGCATTTTGCGACAGGACACACACACGGCAGTGCTCAACCGTTTGACGGCAAATAAAAGAGCTTCAACACCTCCGTCGTCTGTATGCACGTACAAATAATTAACTGCACTTGAAGCTTTCATAAACTTGAAAATGAAACACCCAAAACTGTACATGGCATCATCACGAAGACGAAATATATGTTTATACGTGAAATTCCGGAGGGGACGTCGGATGGCGTCATGTGGGGAAGTAATGACGTGTGCCATTAATCGAACTATGTAACATGTAAAATGGGAACATGAAAGGAATATTCCAAAAGTAACTCAAGTAAACACCATAATCATAATATTGGCTTATTTAGAATAAGGTAAATAATTAGATTACTGATGTCCATGTAAACGTTGTCAAGTCCCGACCAACAATTTGCCTTATTCAAGAAGCCGTTTGACTCAGATATATGTCAATGCAACTTCTGTTTTGTGCCAAATCTAAACTAAAATTAAGTAAAATTCACAGGATAGCAATCTGAAAGGGTTGTTGGCACAGTAAGATGGACAAAAATATGTAATGCCTATATGCAAAGTACATATTTCACAGGTCATCAACATTTAAGTCACGATGACCCGTGAAATATGTACTTTGTATTTTGCAAGTCTAAACAAAATGGTAAAAAAGTAAGATTTTGCTTTGAAAATGTAATTGACTTGAGTACAAATTCCCAAAACAATACAGTCTGTACTAAGTATATAGTGAAGTCCAGTTATTCTAGTGCTTTACACCCCGATGAGTAGTGTGTGTGTGTGTGTGCTGGAGGTCAGAGGTCGTGAGAGATGTGCGCTGGTACCGTGTGTTCATAGTTGCGAGCAGGACAGATAGCACAGGTGTCGGTGAGTGTTCAGAGCGTCCCGTCCTGTGACCCCAGCCTTACATGGGCCGGCGCTGGTGACACACTCAGTCGTCCTCCAGCAAGGGATAAGACTGAGAGTGAGCGACGCCAGATAAGATGATCTTTACAGATGTACAGTCAGTCTAAACGCTCCACAAACGCACAGACGGCACCTGGAAAAAGCCACTGCCATCCCGGGGGTCAGTGACGCTGCCGGTGCCCTGCTGGGATTTGTTTAGCATGCAAACACACACACACACACACACACACACACGTCTGGTTAGCTACCCTTGTAGGGACTCTCCATAGGCGTAATGGTTTTTCTACTTTACAGACTGTATATTCTATCACCCTACACCAACCCTACCCCTAAACCTACCCCTCACAGGAAACTTTCTGCATTTTT